AGCAGAACCAATGAAAATGAAATCCTGGCCTTGACCTAACTCTAGAAAGCAAGAAACAGCAAACAAACAGTTATAAAGTCCTGTCATTAACATGTTCATGAGGGTCAAAAGTCCCTAGGATGTTTTTTTTCTACGCGTCTTATTTTTTTCCTGCACCAACATCTTGCACCAACATTTGTTTTTTTTGGAATCCTGTGACTGGGGTCCGGTACAAGAAAAATTTATAGATAATAATATGTCCTTGACCTCTAGGAAAAAAGTATGGACTATCGATCCCATATAATTCATCAATGCGCTGACGGGATGCCTTGGAAGAAGCCATGGAGTGTTGGTCAGTGAAGACGATCTCAGAAGGATCAGTTGGCTTGACAGGAGTACGAATGCCTTGATAGCCACTCCATGGATCACCTCGTAACCAAGGATCGGCAGAACCACTACTGCTACTAGCAGTTGCAGGTTTGGGGTTGTGCTGAATGTGTACTCTGGTCTTGGCGGCGGCGACAATGGTAGAGGTTTGAGAAGGTGATTCCTGAGGCTTGTTGACTTTCGTGACCGTCACCGGACCAGCATCAGTGGCCAAATGGAGCGCCGGAGGTTCCGTGCTAGTGCCAACCAACCAAAAGCGACCACCAGTAGCCCCACGTACAGCCCGAAGAAGACGAGCAACCCACTTCCAAGCAGCCAGAATCTTGATGACCTGCGCTTTGGTGGACCCATAGGGAAAGGGCCAACCTCAAAAGTCAAGTCCACAGTACGCCAATCGCAGATGTTTCCGCGATTCGGGTATTGCTGCGTGATGGACAGGCTCTCCGAACCCGGGGCCCTGAGGGTTGGAGTGCTGAGGATTTCAGACACTTTCCGGACCCTGCTACAAGATGTCTCTAACATGTTCCAGCAAATTGAAGCCGGGGCCAAGTGGCCCTCTCAACTCTTGGTTGGACACGTGCATTGTCTGGAGAAGCATCCACATGCTGTTCAAGCGGGCGACTACCGCCCGGTTGTTTTGTACTCCACGCTCTACAGACTCTGGGGGTGCATACATTCGCGTTCCCTGCTAGCGCAGTTGGAGGCCTACATACTCTATGCTACACATGGGTATCTGGCGGGAAGACAAAGCTCTGACATCACCTATTGGCTCCAATGCGGCATTGAAATGGCTGTCAAGGCCAATGAAGCGCTTTGCGGGGTGACTACGGATATTCGCAGATGCTTTAACTACCTGCCTCGTTGGCCATTGCTGATTGCTGCACAATGTTTGGGCTTGCCTTCATCCACACGCAAAGGCTGGGCTTGTTTCTTGGACCACAATGTGCGCACCTTCTGTGTACGTCAGCAGTTTGGACCTATGCATCATTCTACCTCTGGTGTCCCGGAGGGTGACAGTCTCAGCTGTGTCGGCATGCTCATGGCTACATGCATACATGGTTCACTACTCGCCACGGGTTCATGCCATGAGTTTTGTGGACAACTTGGGGTGTGGCTGATTTGTGTCAGGGTTTTGCAGCCCTCACCACTTGGGGCGACACTTTACAGCTGGAGTTCGGTCCACCCAAAACTCACTTAGGCCTGCAGGTTATTGAAGCTGGCTCTGATCTAGGAGCGGCAATGATTTATGGTGGTCGCTTGCGCAACAAAGCCTTTACTGATCGCATCAAAAGTGTGGCGCCTTGTTTTGACAGATTGCGCAAGCTCTCAGCTTCAATGTGGCACAAACAGCTTGGTTTGCGCGTCGCTGTCTGGCCAAAGGCTTTACATCATTGCAGTCACTTGGTTTTTGGAATGCACTGGATCACCAAATTACGCTCTCAGGCGATGGCAGCTTTGCATGCTAACAGAGCAGGAGCATCACCAATTTTGCACCTGGCCTTCACGTCGGAACCTGAGCTTGACCCTGGCTACTTTGCTTTCTGGAAATCTTTTACGGAATTTTACCGGCAAGCGCATAAGAGCCTAGCTTTGCGTGATTGGTGGAAAGACTATGTGGTTTCTCCACCGACTACGAAGACCTTTGGGCCTTTTGGAGCTATTGCCAGGTGGTGTGACTTCCTTCATCTATGGCTGGATGAGGACTTGATCCTTCATTTTCTAGCATGGCTGGCTTGGATGGCATTGAGCCCTACTGCACCTTTGTTTATCCTAAGCCTACTACTTTGGCTGATCAGGAGCTCCTTAAATGCATCTGGAAAGGCACTTTCTACCTCAACTCCCAGAAGGCCAAATTTGACCACAGCAACACCGGTGATTGATGTGTGGACAGCCAGATTCTTTCGCTCACCGAGCTCTCCGATGCCCGGCGCTTCAAGAAGTGGACCGCCATCATCAATGTGTTCAGGAATGGACAACTTTGCCACCTGCGCTTGCTAACCATGCGCTGCTGCCAGCCTCTCCTTTTCAATTTTCCGGGTGGAAAGCTTTGCAGGAGCTGCCTTGGGCACCACGGGATCGGGAAGGTTCTCCGGTCGATGATCAGATGCAGCATCTTTTTGTGGATGGGTCGCAGCGATGGGGCTTTCATCCGGGTCTCACGCTTGTTTCTTGGTCTGTCGTGTTGAGCAATTCGGCTACTGTTCTGCAAGCAGGTCTGTTGCCGGGGGCATTGCAAACGGTGGATGGTGGCGAGCTATGTGCTGCCTTGCAGGGTCTCAGATGGGCAGCGCATCATTGTCGCATCCCTTGCATTTGGACAGATAGTCATTGTGGCAAACTCGCTCTCACAAGGGTCCCTGATGAACACAGGA